GCCCACCAGTGGCCGAGTGGTCTTCGTACCCTAAACACTGGGAGTTCGGTCGTGGGTTCGCGCCGCGATCGGACAGGCTGGCTGCTTGGAGTTTTCCGGGTTTTCTCCTTGCCAATAACGACTAAATAGGAGGCCAGTTCCCCATAAAAGTCCTCCCGGAAGGCATTAGTTCCCCTCGCGTAATATCGCGCCCCAGAGAAGGCAACGGGAAACCACTCTGGGTAGTAACTTTCCCTAGTATACACCTTGGCGGATTACAAACCTACGCCAGGTGTCGCCGACGTCAGGAATCTGATATGGCACCGAGAAGAAGAAGAATTTTTTAAAGGAAATATTTAAATTCTTTCTAACAGATACTGATTTAACATAATACTTTGCCCAAGGCAAGAATAATTGCTTCTTTATTAGTGTCAATAAAAGTCTAAGCTGGAACTTTTCCAGGATATGAAAACATTATATACACCTTACATTTCTAGCATAAAAATTTTAATGAAACAAATGTTCTTGATTCACATGATAAAGCCTTCCTCAGCAAGTCAAAAACATTTATTTCATTAAAATTTTTGTACTGGAAACATGCAATATTTTCATATTCTTTTTTAGTTTTCATCTATATTATTATGTAATAAATATAATATGAAAATGAAATTATGTTTGTATGAATAATTTTTAAAAAAAGTAAAATATTGTTTCATAAAAGTTTAGTTTGATGCGATTAATCTGTACAAGACAACACATATCAAATTATTTCAATTAGATTATCTGAGAAAGCCGTATATTTAAAATATAACAAACTATTTTCATTCTCTTCAGTAAAGAAATTCCAAATGTTTAAAAAGTTTGGTGTTTTCTACAATTATTTGAAATATAAAATAGGCATTAATAACCATTGCTAAAATTGTTATGGATATATTATATTGGAAAATTATATAAAACTGTTTTCATTCATTTAAGTTATGAACTTATTAAATACTTACAAATTTATTTCTAAAAGTATTAAATCCAAATATTTTTAAAGTATTTATTAATTTCCAAAAATAACAGTTTTAATAAAAATATATATATAAATTGAAACCATAAATTTTTAAATATTTAAGATATTCTAGAAGTACTCATAACTTATATTATGTAAAAATTGCAGTATGTTTATTATTAGGATATATTAAGTTAAAAAAGTATGCTTTTACTAATCCGTTTAATTTCACAATAATGGTCTAAATTTTGAAATTAAAATACAATATTATTTAACTATAAATTATATTAACACTTTCAGGATTGATGTTTTTTAGGTGACATGTGGACTGACCTTCACTTTTTTCAAATCACACACATTTGAAAACAAATAGCTATATAGTTTTTATTATTAGTCTATGTTAAAGATAGTTTTTCCCATTTAAGTTGACATAAATAAGTAAAGATTTGGTGATATAGGTTGGATTATAGATAACTTGAGTTTAATGTAAACAAATGAAAAAATCAATTTTTTTCTACTTTGTTTTTGTTTATAATTGATATTTCAATGAATATGATGAAATTTCTAACAAACATTTAAAATCAAGAAATGTTAATCTTCAGTTTATTAAGCTGAAGACAGTTTTCAAATAAATTATTATTAGTTTTTAATTTTTAATATTAATTCCTCAGAAACGTTTTTGCAATGATATAAGACCCAGAAGTGGGCATATTTCAACTTTACCTGATGCAAGATATATCATCAGGACTCAAGAATTTTATTCAATTGTTAAGGCCTGATAGATCTAAGTATATTAGAGATATTACAGATTTTTCTGAACATATTTGATTTTTAATAATTGTATTATAGTAGATTTATCATATTAAGTATAATTATTCAATAGATATCCAAGTTTACAGTTCAGTTTTATTCAATTTGCATAGTAGTTCGTTCAATGTAGCCTTTTATTCTTGCATAAAATAATTATTCGAATTATTGAAATTTTGGAACATTTAAAATTTTTTAGAATTATAATTAATTTTATATATCTATCCACAAAAATGAAATTATTTTTGTTTTGGAATAAAAAGAAATAAAAATTCTCATTATTCTTTAATACAGTAGTTTAAATATCTTTAATAATATTGAAATCTATTTTATGACTCCCTTCTTTTGTGATTAATATAAACTTGATGTTTATATAAAATCATATAAAATTGTATGATTTATAAATTGCTACATATTTTTTGTTTTTCTTACCATCTAAAAATGATAAGCAGTTTAAACTTTTTAAACTGCTTATCATTTTTAATAGAAATGGAAAAAGTTTTTAAACTGAGATTCTATTTCCAGGAACAGACAATAGTTCACTTAATGATGGCTAACTAGAAACCAATTATGTTGTAAAAACAAAGATTTATTGTAATATTTCTTCAGATACTGTGTTGATCACTGACTCAAAGAAATGTTAAGTGGATTATTTAATAAACAAAAACAATTCTAAGGTTTTTTTACATATAAATTTCAAATTTTAATTTTTGAAATAAATGTAAGGATTCATTTTTATAAATACTTACATTAAAAAAATTTTATTATGCAGACCACAAGAGTAAAAGAATAACAATGATTATGTCATATCAAATTTACATCCATTAAACTGTTATTTTTACATTTGAATTAACATTCATTTTACTATACTGTAGATGAATACATATGATGATGATGAATATCAAGCAATTAGCATAATTCTTATAAAGTCTAAGGTTACAAAGAATATATTGTTACTAAATAATTCATTTTTTGTTTCTGTTACTTTTTAAATAATTTATATGAATTTTTCAAATTTTGTTTTTCATTTTTCTATAAATAAAATTTCAATGAGTTTTCTGAGTTTTTAAATTTTATTTTAATTATTAATTATTAAAATACAATAAAATAAATACTGAATTAAGAAAAGGGCTAAAATGTTATCAAAACTATTTAATCCTTGATAAATATATAGATTAATCTTATAGAAAGTAGTTTTATTTTCAGGCAAAATCAAATGGATTGTATCCTTTTTAAATTTTAAGAAATGGTATAATAATTGTACTTTTCTTTAACAGATTATAATATCAGACGCTTAATGTACTGGTATTAAAAAACAATTAATTGCATGATATAACCTATTTTTATTATATGTTATATTTTAAATTTTAAGTTTTAATATTACTACAATATAATCTTAAATATTTTTCAGAGTTTATGAAAAAAACAAAAAGAAAATTAATGGCCTTATATATTATTTTTGATATCATGGTAAAAATATTGGGAGAATAATCAGAAAATTATTCCTTATTTTCTAAAAAATCTAATTATATACATTTCAGTTCTAATTTGCATAAATTTTTTAATTTAAATCCTAATTATCATAAATTATATATTTGATTATTAATTAGCTTTTTTTTTTGGTTCAATAATCTTAAAACATTATATTATTGAACAAAGCATTGTGTTTAATTTAAAAATAACAGGGATATTAACTATTAGTTTGTGAGAAATCTGATAAGAAATAGGAAATTAATTTCTTTATGTTGATTGATATGTAAATTATTTTTTTTATCTTGTTATTCATTATTTATTATTAACTAATACCTAATTAAAAAATATTTATTGATAAATATTTTAATTAGTAGTTTGTAGTTTAGTTTCCTTACAACTTATTTCATGCAGGGGCAGATCTACATAGGGACTAATAGAGCTTAAGCCCTGGGCCCCCAAATATCAAGAGCCCACAAAAATTGAATTATTATCATAAATTTTTAATACTTTTTCATTAACAATGAGTACGTCAATATAAAGTTTGTCATTTAACACCATTTCATAAATAAATATATTTCAACTCTGATTTTGATGTTATTAAAAATGAATTTTAAACTCCAATTTAAAGATTCTTAAGATAACAAAAATGAGGCACTATTGGACTTCAATAAGCCCTAGGTCCTGAAAAACCTAGATCTGCCCCTGATATCGTGTGACAATATTTGTAACTATTTTTTTCATTGATTGTATTATTAAATAAATTGTTAGAAATTTATTCTTACATTATTTTAGAAGTTTGTGATGTTATTTTATATTAGAAATAGCATTAACAAAAATAAATAAATATTTTAAAAATTCTGCATGAAAATCATTACTACTCTGCAAAGAATAGTTTGTAGTTTGTTATGTTTGCAATATTATACAATTATTTGATTTTTTGATTTATAAACTGTTATTCCAATTTGAACATTGATATACGAATACATAATTGTAAATGGTCTGAAATAGGATGAAAACATTCTTGTTATGCTAATAATAAATTCAGTCTCCAGAAATAAGCAATTTTATTTCTAATAGTTCATATCAGTGTATATGACTTTGAGATATATTATATAATAGAAATTCAATTGCAAACATTTGTTGATATATAGATTTTCAAATGCTTCAAATGCAATGATTAGTTTATTTGTTCTAATATATAAAAAGTACTAAAATGTAAAACAAAAAGTTTTTGAAAACATTCAACTAAGTACTCAAAATATAAATATTGTCTGTTCAATTGGTTGGGATAATGCATATTATTACATAAATTTGTCACCATTATTTAGAAACTTTTATTGTAAAACTAAAGTAATGTCTTTTATAAATTTTTCTGTTCGATGGAGATTATTAATAAAATTGAAGACAAAGTCTGCCCAAAAGGGACCATCATTTATTTCTTGTGTTCCAGACTATACAGATTCATGGTGACCGACCATCCTTTATAAGCTATATGCCGCCAGAATTTTAAAAAGTCCTTTAAAAAAACAAATATAGCCAATATATCCAATTTTATAATTTTAATTGGATATATTTGTGTTTTTTAAAGGACTTTTTTAAATTCTGTCTTAAATAAAGTCACTATGAATGTGTTTAGTCTGGAACACTGGAAATAAACGGTGGTTCCTTTTGGACAGACTGTCTTTAATTTTATAAAGTAATGTCATTAAGTTGACATAAAAATGTGCTCCATTTCAACTATCCAAACAACATATTATATATACTAATTATTATAATAATAATTATGTAATTTTACATATGAAAATTACATAATTATTTTTAATTTCTAGATAATGTTTTTTTTCTATTTTAAATTAATAGGTAATTGAATTTCAGATGTTTAGTTATGTTTTTTTTATTATAAAACATATTTATGTAAAATGCTGTTACAAATTCTACATATGTAGCAAACATCACATATCTGACAACTTTTTATTTATACAATTATCATTTCTTCAAAAGAAAGAATAGAATTTATTTTAAATATAACATTTGATAAATTGTGTGTGCATGTGTGTAAATTTAAAATACAGTAGAGCATCGATTACCTGACTCAATTGGGGACTCAGGTTGGTCAGATAACTGAAAAAATCGGATAACCAAAAAGAATGAAAAAAATACATTATTAGTATAGTATATTAGTATATTGCTATTAACCTATTTCGTGTTGAATTTTCATCAATGTTAAGCCTAACAAATTTTTTTAAAAATAATAATCATCGCTATTCTATCATTAAAAATTATTTTTAAATTATTTTATTGTTCACAAAACAAACAACCAATCATAATTAGAAAATTAGTTATTGTTTAAATACTGGCCTCCCTTTCATGGTCAAGCCAGTGTTGCCAGCTAAAACACGCAAAAATTTAACAAAAATAGTATCAAAGTAGCCAAGACATGGCCAAATATTGTAGCGCCACATCACTAGCGGACATTTGAAATCTGCCGATTAGAACGGTCGGTTAACCGATGTGACGGTTAATCGGGGGTCGGATAATCAATGCTCTACTGTACTTGTTAAAATGGAAAAATTGTTACAGAAAAAATTGTAATTTTAATAATAAGTTTTTAACTAGATAATAAATTATAAGTATATATTAAAATATGAATTCTAAATAGAAATTTTTACTATTATTGTCTTAAATTTGTTTTTTTAAAACAAAATACTAAAGATAGTTTTGAATTTTATCTAGATCATTTTGTAATGCCAATAATTTGGAACCATTGTGTGCTGCTGATTTTGGTAAAGTTATGAAACAAGTGTTTCCTTCTGTTAAACCACGAAGATTGGGTACAAGGGGAAATTCACGGTAAATAATACATTTTATTTATAATAACAATAATATAATTTTAATTAAACAATATCTTCAGAATATTAATACATTTAAAAATGGAAATGTACCATTTTACATTTTATTTTTTTGATGAATTGAAATACAGGAAATTCCATAATTCTGAATTATTTGTATGACAAAGTTCTCTCTATAATGAACAACTGATAATCCCCAGCAAATGTAGTTTACAAGCATATGATGTTTACCATACAGGGTTATGTCATATAACAAACAAATTTCAAAATATGCTGGAGTTTGAAATAAAAGGAATTTTACTACTATTTTATTTCAAACTCCAGCCATTCCTGTTGCAGCAGACTATATCAGAAAGTCGTTTGAGAAGCAGTTGAGGACACTAGCTTTAACTATGACATTACTCTATCTTCAATAATTAAAGATGGTTTTGAATGGGCACAGGGCAGAGTTACCAGATCCTGCAATTCCTTTCCATTTGGGTTACCTTTGAAGAAAAATTGTGGCTATTTCTATGCCAATGTTGCAGCATTTGTTCCGTATTAAAAATATTTATTTCTGACTTTTTATTTCCTAGCTACAGATTTATGACATTGAAAGCTAATGTTTAATGGTTAAAAGTTTTAGGCTTATTCTACCTTTGAAAGAAAATTTCCAAGTTTTTTTTTCAAGTTTTTGATAAGCTTTTTTGTGAACTCTGACTGATTTATGGCAACACTTCTATGAATTATAACAGATAGTGCCATTATAAACAGTTTACAATGGAAGCACAAAGGAATAAAATGTCATACATTTTTAGTTTTGCCCATGCTTTATTAAATAAATTTACAAGTATAAAATGAATTTAGAAATAGTCATAACTGATCATTTGTTATTATTCTCTATACTGTATATAGAATTCTTCTTTTATATCAAATACTCAAAATATTGGTTCCCTCAAATTTATTTATTAAAAAATTTGTAAATATAAATGAAAGAACACTAATTTTAGCAGCAAATTGTATTTGGCAAATAATAATAAAAAGGGAACTAATAATGAAAATTTTAATATATTATTATTTTTCTGATTTTATATATAGGAACTTCAAAGATATTTGACTCAAGAAATAAATTTTTTATATTCTATGAGGGCTGTTCAGAAAGTACGTGGCCTCAAATAGAACAACAAACAAAATAATGTTAAAACTTTTTTATTTTTCAATGTAGTCTCCTTTGTTAGCAATGCACTTATTCCAGCGATGTTCTAGCTTTTTTGATGCCATTACAATAGGTCGATTTGTCAAGGTGTGCAAAATACTCGTTTACTTCAGAGATGACTTTGTCATTTGAGTGGAATCTCTTTCCAACCAAGAATTATTTTAAATTTGGAAAAAGGTGGAAGTCACTGGGGGCCAAATCAGGTGAGTACGGTGAATGTGGAACTAATTGGAAGCTAAGTTCATTTATTTTTTGTTCAGTGATTCTGGCATTATCGTGGTGAAACAGAACCTTCTTCTTCAAGTGTGGCCTCTTCGATTTTTTTCTTCAGTTTTTCCAAAAGTATACAGTAATAGACAGCATTGATGGTCTTTCCTCTTTCTAGGTAGTCAATAAAGATGATTCCTTTAGCATCCCAAAAAACTGAGGCCATCACTTTCCCCACTGATGGAACTGTTTTTGCCTTCTTTGGTGGTGGTGAACTGGGGTGTTTCCATTGCTTCGACTGTTCTTTTGTTTCAGGAGTGTAGTAATGGATCCACATTTCGTCAGTAGTCACAAACCGACGCAAGAAATCCCATGGGTTTTTCTTGTAGAAGTCCAAACACTTCTTTGACATCAAAGTGCGAACACGTTTTTGCTCAGCGGTCAGCAGATGTGGCACCCAACTTGCTGAGACCTTCGTCATATCCAAATTTTCGGTTAGATGTGGTGCACTCGGTCGACAGAGATGCCTGTTGTCTCAGCTATCTCACGCGTTTTCAAACGGCGATCTGCTAACACCAAATCGTAAACTTTGTCGATATTTTTTTCAATGACAGCAGTTGACGGCCGTCCGCTGCGAGGGTCATGTTTCACACTCTCTCTGCCAGATTTAAAAAGGGCTGTCCATTTTTTCACAGTGGTTTACGAAGGAGCAGACTCTCCCAAAACTTCATCCATGTCAGCTTTGATTTGAGATGCGGTCAACCCTTTTTTCATCAGGTATTTTATGACCGCACGAGTCTCCGTCTTCTCCATTTTTGACAAAGCATGTGCACATTGACTATCTGCTAAGCTGTCGTGGCAAAACTTTACGACAAATCAAGCGGAAATTGGTATCGTATCTTTAGCAAGGATGGCTGAATTATTCCCGCCAAAAATTAAATTGATCACAGCGCCGCATATAGGCAAGGCCGCGAACTTTTCGAACAGCCCTCGTATAAACTATAAGTGGATTTATTAAATTTAGATATATAGTGCAGTCAAGAGGAGGAGTTGGGTATTTTTTCCTAGGCTTAGAGAAGACTTAAGGGTCCATAGTGATTTCCTACCATATAATATTATTTCTATTAACACAGAATAAAATCTTTAAGCTACTTTTTTTTAAGAAAGAAAAATTTAACATATTTTATTTATTGAAAAAATATGGGGAGCAAAAGGTATACATTCCAACCTTAAGCCTGTATATAAATGAAATGAAGTTTGCAATCAGTAATGGTGTGATTAAATTTAAAATATACATATATATACATTGAATTTTATTTCTAAAACTTTTTGTTATCTGTTTAAATTTACCCTATCTAAAAAATCTTAACTATCGGGGGTGTTTCTGAATTTTACGTTATTGTTCTCTTCAAAATTTGCTTCTTATATAATAATCAAAAGTTAAGATAAATTAATGGATTTCTTGTCAGTTTATCTTCTGTTCTTAGTTTTTAATGACTTTTTATTGTTGTTTACATTGTTAGACTTTTTTATTGATGATGATTTAAGATTCTTTTGTTTTATTTACTAATTTATCCACTGTAGACTCCAAGCTTATTGATGCCTTATATTACTTTCTACTTATTACTTTTGAGCAAATAATAAAGATAGTTTGAGAATATCCATAAATAAATATTTGTACATTAGATTGAAGGTTTAATATATATATATAGTAAACCTTCAATCTAATGTACAAATTTTTGCTCTAAAGGAAAAATTTAGAATCTCTTTTTTTAATTTATGAATAGAGCATGCTAAAACATTGGATCAGTAAGTTAGCATTAGTGGTAAAAACTCTTTTAGTTACATTGTATTATTTTTGACATGTTTAATTAAGTTCAGTTTCTGCAATTATTTTTATATCTTTAACAAATGTTTTAGTGGCATATATAAATTACTCAACATACAGTACATTATAATATTTTATTCATATTGTTATGCATTAAAACAGCATTAAATTATATTTTAAAAACATACATTGACAAAAATCCTAAATCAAATTATTATTAACAATAGCAAGCACATTTCCTTCAATTAGTTTATTAAACCTATGCTATTTCTCAAAAAAAAAAAAAAAAAAAAAGCAATCAACAAATATGCCTATGATTGATATTTTACACATGCTTTTCATGAATGATTTATTAAATTCATTAAAACTTTATTTGATACTTCTGGAACTATCTTGATACAAAAAGAATAAATTTCATTTTAAGTGACTTGTGATAGAATACTAATGGAAAGCTGTCATATCATTCCTAATTAACATAGAAATCTACTTATATAAGCCATTGATCCCACTGTTTGTATATCTGTCATCTGTCATGGAATGCCTAGAACACATCCCTAGCAATGATTTTCAGCTATTATTTAAATTAATAGTATAATTTATTTATTAACAGTATATATTATTATTTTTATTTGTAATANCAAATCTACTTATATAAGCCATTGATCCCACTGTTTGTATATCTGTCATCTGTCATGGAATGCCTAGAACACATCCCTAGCAATGATTTTCAGCTATTATTTAAATTAATAGTATAATTTATTTATTAACAGTATATATTATTATTTTTATTTGCAATAGGAATTTATTATTTATATAAATTTTATTATTTATACCACGGAATGACACTGCTGCTGCTAGAACACCCACTAGGGACGTTCCAGGCTACGTGCAACACCAGGGACGTTCTAGTCATTATATGGTTATAGATCAAAAGTGTGGTTCGAAATGTTTGAACAGATAATTAAAATTGAATGTTGGTTTATGGAGTTTGAATTCAAATCCTTCTTTCAGTTTGATTTCTTTTGGATTTTAGAAATAATTAATTAAGGTAGCTAATATATCTACTTTCGCAGAAAATTCTTAGATTAATATGAAAATTAATGATTTTAACTATTACTTGACAAAAATTTGTTTCTATCATAAATCATTTAATCTAGATTATTTCTGTGTTATTTCTTCCAAATATTAAAAATGCATTATTAAAATTTCTGAAATCATTTAAAACATTTTAAGTGTTATCAATATAAAAAACTGAAATAATCCACTTTTGAATGTCAAAATATCTAAAATCTGGCCTCAAAATGAAGAAAGAAAATAAGTTAGCCTTCTTTTTGTATTTTTATTTTTAACCCACATGAAAGTAGGCAATAGGAAAAAAAAAGTTCATACTTGCCACCATAATCAAACTATTATGAGAAAATGCTAAATTTAGGAACAAAATAATTTTTATTTAGAAATGTTCTCAGATTCGTTCTAAAGCCCTTAGAAAATTTTTCAGCTGATAATGTTCTTTTAAAACATTTCTGAATAAAAATTTGTTTTTGTTTCTGAATTTAGCAGTTTTCCTAATAATTTCAAAAAGTAGGCAATTTGTGAATTTTAAATATTTGCACTGAAACAAGTAAACAAGTTTTCTATAATATCCAAAATTATTAGCTTTTCTTCAAGATTAGAAAAATATACAACTCTACCTCAAAATTGGATAACTATTTGCAAATTTATGTTTTAACATTAAGTAAATATTTATCTTTTATCATTATTAATTTTGGAATTATAGACTAGTTTTTAATTCTAAAATAAAGTAATACCCTGAGTTATNTTGGAATTATAGACTAGTTTTTAATTCTAAAATAAAGTAATTTATTTTAGAAATTAAGATAGTTTTATGATTGAAATATTTTTCTTCTAATAAATGCATGTATTATATTTTATTTCATTGTTTTGCAAATTTATAATGCAGATTTACAAATTGAATTAAAAATAATAATCACAATAAAATTTTCAATATTATCATGTGTTGTTTTATAGATATTAGATGTTTATTTTCTCTATATTGAAATATTTTATTTTATTATACTAGAAATATATTATTGTCATCATTATGAACTTTATTTTTTATGCTTAATTATAATTATGTTATGTAAAAAGTTTTGAAATTATTTTTTATAAAATAAAATGTTTTTCAAACAAATAAATTTTAAAATTTTATTAATTATAAATAATGAACTTTGCAGATATTGCTATAGTGGTCTTAGCAAAAATCTAGTGGTAAAATCACATACTCTTCCAAATCTTTGTTCTAACAAAGAAACTTGTGATGTAAGTACATGCTGTTTCATATTAATTATTAACTATCTGTTATATATAAAAATTTTGCTACAGGTTTATATTTTTATTTAGAAATAAAATTGTTTTTATTTATTGATATTCAGAATATTTTATGAAATGATGATTTACTATTAGTTATCTATCATTTTTGATTTGAGATTGAAGAAAGGAGCTCTGTTAGAATAAATATTACTCATTGAAACTTTTTAGACTATTTATTAAATATCAATTACTATTTTAAGTTTTTTTTTCCTGTCTTTCTTTCTTCCTTTAAGAAATTTACAAAAGTCTGTAGCAAACTTTTTTATAAATTTCTAATCCATGTTTTAAAGATAATTAAAATGAAAAATGTGAAGATATCCAACAGACAATCAGATATGTTAATTATACTTGGTATTTTTAGCTGTAAAAATTTTGATGTTTGCAATAGCATTTGTAATTTATTAAAATTTATATTTGAACCAAACTAAATTCTTTGATAATTAAAAATTCAGTTGGGTAGTTAAATTAATTTATGAGCAGTAATATATATTATCTTTAAAAACTTCAGATTATTCTAGGTCAAAAAATATTTGTTTATTTAACTCAAGAAAGAAAAATAAATAGAATAAAACTTTATAAAGTGAAATATATTTACATAGCAGAACAAATTTTAAAATGCTAATAAAGTTTATATTAAATATCAGAAATATTCTTCTTTACATTGAATGTAATTTTCTGTTGTTTACTAAAGTAAATTCTCATAATAATTTCATGATTGTTCAGAGTCAACAAACAACTTGGTTTATTGAAATCTCCACTTTGAATATTGATCTTTAGCATAATGATAGGTACAATCTTTTCATGACTTTCTTTTGAAATATTTTTAGAGAATATTTGATAACCAACCAAGATTGCATTTCAAGGTGAATAACAGATGCCTGGAAATAATCCACACAAGTTTGTGTAGCATAGTTTTACTGCAGAAAAAGAAAACTTTATGAACTAAGTAGTCATTTGAAAATCTGCACATTATCTTTTATTTTTGTAATTCTACAAATCCACATCATCAAATGTGATCGACTTGACTACATTTGATGACGTGCACATTTAAATGTGCAGTGCAAATTTCTGAACAGGAACTTTGGTTTAATTTTTCAGGCAGTACTTTATGTGACTGATCAACAGATTGTTTTGTTTATTTTTTCTTCCACCACTTTTCATAAACATCTGTCTTGAGAAATGCCCAAAATTCCTCAGTTGGTGTAATTTCTGGTACAATTGCAGGATTATCCTTCTTTTTGATGAAAGAGATATTCTCTTGTCAGAGGTAATCCAGTATTGTTTTGATGTAGTGGGAACTTGTGTGATATGACCAGAAGACATATTCTGCTCGACAATATGTCTTCTGGCCATATCACACAAGTTCTCATGATTTTTTTGAATGTATGAAATCAGGCAATGTCATATACATTCATTTAAATATCATTGGGCATTGATAGTGAAACTTAGTTTTTTGATTAGTGCTTGGCTCAATCTTTTCAGTCCCATTGCAATCCAAACCAAAATTTGCCCTCAAATTTCTTTTTCTTGGAAAACATATTGGCAGGTTTAGAGATCAGTGGTGCACTCAGGATTTAATATTGGAAGAGCAAAGTTAAATGAATAAAAAAGTTTTTAATTGAATTCAATAAAATTACTGCTTTTTGTGACTTCTAATTCATAGGTGGTATAGAAATAGAAAATGCAATACAATATAAATAAAAAATTAATTTTAGTTAGAAAAATATTTTTGAAAAATTTTCTAGGTTTTCTTTTTCCTTTTTTCTCTGGAAGGTGCCAAGGCCCCTCAAGCTCTTCTTGATCTGCAACTGACTAGTATGAAATCCACCATTATTATTACTTGTCAAATGCAAGAGGGTGAAGTAAGATTCATCATCCAAAATAAAGAACTTTTCAGAGAATATTTGCAATAACCTTTCTGCACTTTGTCTTTGCTAGTAATCTTTGCATGTACTGTATATTCTGTCCAGAATTATCTGCTTCTTTCAATATTTAATGTGTTTTTGTTTCAAAGCCTTGTGGAGCCAATTACATGAAATTTTCAGTTTTGGGGTAATAAGATTGAATTGAAACTTTGTCACCCTCTTCAAACATCCTCTCCAATTCTTTCATCTTGGCTTTCGCTAGAGTTTCTGCATTTCTGTCAGACTTTTCTTCTCTGTAATGATAATCCACTCTCAAAACATTAGAGAATACATTTTATAGCCTGTTTTGAAGTCCCTTCATTTGCTAAATGGTTTATAGTAAACTTTTCCTAATGTTTTATTTAATATGTAAAAAATTGTACACTCTTAGGCATAAAACAACGTCTTTTGTTGCCATTTTGAAAGAAGCAGAAAGTTGAATGCAGAAAAAGATTCTAGAATGTTCATGAGCAAAAGTGAATGTTCTTTAATGTTCAGAAGTGTTCCATGAGCTTTCAAATTATATCAAATGCAGCATACTTAACAATTATTGACTATTAGCTGGAGCCTGAGATACTTTGTATGGATTTTTTCCAGACACCATTTCTCTGTGTATATGAATTTTTTTATTCAGTTAATCAATTTAATTATGATTCCACTTTGCTGAAAAAGTTTAAGGGCTTAACTTTTTACATGAATATGCCAAATATACTCTTGTCAAGATATCTGTTATATAATATTACATATCTTAGATTGCTATTAAAAGGATTTTATCTATCATATAATATATAATATGTTAAATGTACTTGTCATCAGACAACAATGAACATGGTAACTTGTTTCGTAAAAGATAATAATGTAATATTCAATTATTTGAAATTGTTACATCTAGTTATTTGTATTAAAACTATATGGAAGTATGTGACCTTTAATATATATAATTAAAAACAGTGTTTTAATAAATACATGACATGATATAGAAATAATATATAATAATATGTAATGTGTAATTTAGCAATTTTCAAAATGTTGTCATCAAAAGTTGAACTCTCTAAAAAGTTTCAAAAATTTCAAAATTTAATAGGTATATCCAAACATTTTAAATAATATGTTAAATTATGTTTTTCAGATAAAATATAAAGATTCTTCTGATGATGATGTACATAATGCAGCCTGCCAGCTTGTATTAGAATGGGCAGAGAAATTGCTTGAAGAAAAATTTACAGCTATTAAAGATCTTGCATGGTATCTTGTTGATAATTTGTGTGTCGACAGTAGATCTGTTGCTGCATTCACACTCTTGTTTTTCAATAATGTTGATCATCAGAAAAAAGGTATTTTTATCATAAGTTTTATATAATTATAATTTTATTATCTAAACTGCAGTAAATACAGAGTGTAACAAAAGTTCCCTTATTCAATCTTTCAAATTTTTGTATTAATGATCTGCAACAAAATGTAAATGAACAAAACTCATGTACAAACCATAAGTTGTACTCAAATTTTAGAATAGATGCTCGAAGTATCCACTTTTCATCTGAAGGCAGATATCCACTCAATGATATTTATTCCTACTCACACATAATAAGTAATATTGTTGGCATGCTATTCTCTAAGTTTGCTGAAATGTTGCATTTCAGGTCATCCAAATTGCAAAAATTATTTACATGAACTCTATCTTTTAGATATCTCCATAAAAAGAAATCTGGCAAAGTTTTCTGGAGATTGACAAGTTCTTAGAAATGATGCAAAATAAATTCAGGTTCCACAAAACCTTTGAACAAGATCGTACAAAGTAGGCTTACTTAATGGTACAGCATTTGGAAAATTTTTCTTCCAAATTTTCAAACATCATTAGTAAGATTTTGTCAAAATAAGTCTTCCAAAAGTATAATTCTTTATTTTAAACTAAGCACCATACTCATATGGCCATGCTTTCTACTTTTCAGTGGAGGATACACAATTATTGCATTCATGTAGATTTGTTTAAAACACTTTTATGATTGTCACATATCTAAATAATAATGCTTTCTTTTGTTACTATTTCAACATGTCAGAAAATAATTTTCAAAATTTGAGTAAGGAAGCTTTTTGTGTACTGTTATTTTAGATTATATAATAAAATTATTTTATTTGCATTAATTTTTAATTAAGAAATGTTCAAATATAAAGTGTAGATAAAGTTTTTTAATTTCAAAAATACACTTGATTGTTACTGAATTATGTTACATTCATATTTTAATTACTGCTAACTGTCTTTTAGCTCAATGCTTTTTTATATACAGTAGAGCCTCGAAAACTTGGCACTCGATAACTCGGCCACACCCTGGCAGGGCAAAAAAATCCTCAGTTAATTAATTTTCATTATAGACAGCTATATGCCTCATAAAGTATTTTTCTGGGGTCTGTCTTATCAGGTAAATTACTGTACACAGTGTATTCATTAATTTTCATTTTCATATAGTAAAGGCACTATGCCTTCATAAAGGTTGTACTTTTCCTTTGTTTAAGGGTATTTGGGCAGTTTATTCTCTGTTGTATTCTCAAGTAAACAATACATACAAATACAGTACAGTATTTTCTAAGGAAACACTCATACTTAACCATTCCCGATAACCCGGCATTTTCACAAACTCGGCCACTCTTCGGTCCACATTAGGCCGAGTTTTTGAGGCTCTACTGTATTACATAAGTGCAGTAAAACTTCACTAATTCAGAATTTGCAATAATTTGGACCACTATTTTTTATTGTTTTCTTTTTATAATGAATTTGTTGGTTCTAATAAAGGCTTTAACAAGTATTACATTACTCTTTAGACAAATGTGTCAGTTAGAACAGAAAAAGCATTGCAAAGAAAAATTTAGTTTTTTTTTAATTCTAAATTAGTAAATATTGTGAATGACAAGAATGATATTATTACCACTACCAATACCAGCAATGCATTATAAAAGTTTACCAAACTACTAAAGTTGTTCATTAAAGTAAACAATAAAATTTGACTTTATTTAAAATTTATTTTTAGGGCCACACAACAAACATTTGAATAAATACTTTGCTAATTTGGACTTTCACTAATTCAGGATAGGCTTTCCCCAATTAGTTCAAATTAGTGAGGTTCTACTGTATTAACTTGTATTTAATTAAAGCATAGAATGCTTTTGATATTAATCTAAACATGATTTATATTTACTATTCTTTCAAGTTAGTTTTTCAGTGGTGACAAACACATTGTAATATTTTGTATCCTATTAGTTATAATTTAATCATTTTAACATAGATGTGGATATAGGATACAATCGGTTTGAAAATTTGACTCAATCTATGCTATGTCAGCGATAACTTTTACAACACTTAAACTTTAAAATTTTTATTTTTATAGTTTTTTATTTCATAAATGTGTGTGCACAAATTATTGCTGCAGTTTGTGAATTTTTTATAAGAATATGAGATTGGTGATTTAGTTTGAGAGATGCTAGTTTTAAATTATTGAAGTATTATTTGAATTTGTGATCTTTTGTGCAGTCTCAAAATTCAGAGTTCATGACTTTTTTTTACTGAAGAAACTGTGACAGGATGCACCTGTCTGAATCTGCTTCAAAACTGGCATGTGCCATACTGGAGAGCAATAATACAAAGTTTATTTACTGACAGATGGTATTCTGCCACTTACCAAAATACCTATGATTTTTTGAATACCAGACTTTCAAACCATTGGATTGGTCATATCAATATCAGGTAATGATTATCACCAGCATCTGTCATTTTCTATGCTCTCTCTTGACTTAACCTCATATGAAGTTTCATTTGGGGGTACATGAAGGATTCTGTATTTGTACCACCATTGCCAACTGCTCTGCCAGAACTGCAGACTTGCTTCAGTACTACTTTCATTCAAATTGAAAGAGACATGCAGCACTAGATGTGGGATGAAGTAGATTACAAGAGTTGATGTGAACAGAATCACCAAGGGGCACATGTCAAGAACTTATAAAAAAATTTAGTGAGTTTTCTAAATATTTACACACTATGTTCATATATTGAATACAAATCCCACAGCAATTTATTAAAACTGCTGTTGTAGATACTCTGTAATTAAGAATAAAATTAGTCATTTTAACAAAAATATTTTTAAAATAAATTTTGTTGAAGTAGCTAATTAAATTAAAATTCAGTTAAGCTATCAATAGTGAAATGATATAAAAGTAACTAAATATCATCAGTCAAGTATATATAGTTAAAATAAATTGTACTAATACCTATTGATAAGAAATCTATCTCATTTAACAATAATTTTTTTTTAATTAAGAAAGCAATCAAAATAACAATATAAAAGTAAATACAAAGTTCATGATTCTAAAGTCCTTTATTTTATACATTGAGTATACCTTGTCTACTTGGACTTTCTTTTTAACTAGGACTTCTTATATCAAAGAGATGGAACATACAGAAGAAGAGAGGCAACAGATCATATAAAAAAGTCTTTATTGTAACTTTAACTTAGCACAATAAACTTACAATAAAGACTTCTTAATACAATTTGTTACTTTGCTGGTTGTATGTATTCCCTCTCTGATATAACAAGTCCTAGTTAAAATTAATTTTAAAAAATTCTTAAATCCAGTGAAAAATGGAATATTTGTTAATGGAACAAATGTTTTCAACCATTTATTATGGCCATCTTTAGGTTCTAGAATGGAACATTATAAATGGAACCGAAAGCGAATTTGAAATTATAAGCATTTGCAAAATACAAATTTGCATAGTGAGTCACATGTGCAAAAGCATAAATATATTAAGTAAAATATAGAAAATAAGATTAAAACTTAAAAAATATTAAATACAAAATAAAATAATTAAATAAAAACAGTGAAATATACAAATATTGTGAGTAAAAACATAAATATAGCAAAAGGTGATAAAGAATACTATAAAACTTCAAATAATACCCTCTGAGCATGTGACACCATTGCAGAATCTTTACAGTTAATTGTGGTCCCTTTCTTGATAGCTTTATAAATTTCCAGACTTTCCAAATATTTAAGTCATGTCAGAGCCTTCCTTGTAGACCTTAGCAAACTTCGACCAGTAGTGGATAAGTGTGCATCACCTTCAATTTACTTTGTGAGAATTCTTAATCAATTTATTATGGTTAACCTCCAACAATTTCCACATGTAATTATTGGTCCTGATGCTTCCTCCAGAGACTACACAACCTTACTATGTAGGAACATGTTTACTTCACATTATGTGATTTTCAGTAGCTTTTTTCATCTGTCACGATTGAACCTTGCTTCTGTGAATTACATAACTTGCTCCTTTTCAACATAACTCATTCAGACAAATATCACTTTATAATCTTTGATTTAGCACACATCATTTGTCACTCTTTTTTCAGCTTTGAAGGCTCCACATATCTGCAATCTAGAAGTGTACCTATGGATAGCCCCACTTTAGTTACTCTATGTAAATGCAATGTGTGATTCTTAATGTAGAAAATGTATGATGTTTGGAGCAGGTAGTTCTTCCTGAATTCAAGAATCAAATCTTGCTTTATACCAGATACATGGATGGCATTTTAGTTATTTGGCCTTGCAAACCATCCATCTAAGAATTCCTAGACAACATTAATAACAAATCAAATGGCTTACTACTCTGCCTTGAACAATAAAGTGATTGGACAGCAATTCGAAAAATTTGTAGACCTATAAATTCCTACTGTTGTCTGTCTTTCCATAATCTTGAGAACAGAGTTAGATAGATGAAATCTGAGACCAGTATGGAAAACTTGGGATAGGAAGTCTCAATTAACTATATATGAACTTCTGATGCAAACTGGAAGTCACATTATTTCAATTCAGAAAGTTTCCCCTGTGAGGAATTAGATAGATGATGGTGTGACTCTGTTTCTAACAGGAAAAGTATGATGTACAGGAGCAAGACACTACTAATTTGAGGAGGAGAGCATATGTTTTAAATTAAATAAATTAAAAAAATATGATATCACAATGCCAGGCTGCAATTTTTAGATTTCACAATAAATAATTATTGCTCATTACCAGGTGCACATCCTTGATGTTCTTATTACCATATGTAACAGCTCTACCACTACCAACATTTATGGAAAAAGTTTTTACAAGCCATTATTCATTCCTCCATCTTCATGATCCTTTTTCTTATAAGCTAGCTGCTTTCAAGGCCTTGATTTAAAAAAGCCTATACCCATAATTTTAACTCTTGACTCAGGGACTTGGGAGCTATATCATATCTTCTGTGTAGCCATAGCATATGGTTCCCAGCAGAAGTTTATTAAGACCATCATACATTATCACCCTCGAATGAATTCAAAGTGTGATGATAGTAGGCCCTTTAGGACTGTCACCTACAACAAAGTTTTGTGTGATATCTACAAGGAAATAGCAGAACTTTCCAATTTTAGAATCATATACAAAAGGATCCCTACTGCCTTCTCATTACTCAGGAATGGTAAGAATCCCACTAACGAGAAGTTTCTATCTGGAGTCTATTTAATTCCTTTATGGCATAACAGAGTGGATTATTGCTATGAGTGTGTTGGATTGACATAGATCTATGGGCACTAGAATCAAAGAACATCAAGACACAATTAGGAAGCACTTATGTACAGTACAACTTCCTTGGCAGCTTTTGCTTGTGACTATGATGATGACGTTTCTTTCAATAGCATTGACGTACTACATTGTGCCTTGGCTCCAACATGACTTAAATATTTGGAAAATCTGGAAATTTATAAAGCTATCAAGAAAGGGACCACAATTAACTGTAAAGATTCTACCATGGTGTCACATGCTCAAAGGGTATTACAGTCGACCCCTCCTATAAGACTGTAGATACATTTCGTTTTTTATGAAATTGATGTTTTAGGAGACCTTGCCAATCACAGCCCGACACGTGTGAAGTTTACGGACTACGGCTGTTTGAAAGGTTTTCTTCCATAAAATTAATCAATTCCTAGACTAATTCGACTCAACATTTCCAAAATATGTATATTTTTTGGGGAATAATCCGTATAAACTATGCTATAAACAAAAAATCATAGGATTACTTACCGAGTGTGCACCATTCGACGTCACCATTGCTTAAGGTTGTTTTCGTCGTGGAGCAGCGCACCAAATGGCGGGCACGATTTCTGATAAGTTATTTTTCTGCGAAAACTTTGTTGAACTTTGGAGACATCATTAATATAAATAATTTTTATGGCCGTTGAATAAGAAATGTATAAAATTAGTGCTATATTAGACTTACGATACCTAATTTACATACTGTACAGACAATAGTAAACTCAACTTACTCGCCTAAACTCTCCGTAGCGTGGCATTGGACGGCGGAAAGTATATCGGCTGCCCGATGATGTTTTACCGAATTATAGGAGTTTTTTACCATGTTTGTACAGATACCGTCGCAATTTTTTCGCCGTCATATAGGAATCCGAACTATNTTGAAGGTGATGCACACTTATCCACTACTGGTCGAAGTTTGCTAAGGTCTACAAGGAAGGCTCTAACATGACTTAAATATTTGGAAAGTCTGGAAATTTATAAAGCTATCAAGAAAGGGACCACAATTAACTGTAAAGATTCTGCAATGGTGTCACATGCTCAGAGGGTATTATTTGAAGTTTTATAGTATTCTTTATCACCTTTTGCTATATTTATGTTTTTACTCACAATATTTGTATATTTCACTGTTTTTATTTAATTATTTTATTTTGTATTTAATATTTTTTAAGTTTTAATCTTATTTTCTATATTTTACTTAATATATTTATGCTTTTGCACATGTGACTCACTATGCAAATTTGTATTTTGCAAATGCTTATAATTTCAAATTCGCTTTCGGTTCCATTTATAATGTTCCATTCTAGAACCTAAAGATGGCCATAATAAATGGTTGAAAACATTTGTTACATTAACAAATGTTCCATTTTTCACTAGATTTAAGGTTTTTTGAATTAATTTTAATTACATCCAGTTTTTGGAGTATTTTTTCATTTCTAGTTAAAAAGAAAATCTAAGTATAGACAAGTTATAAATATCACTTATGGTAGCTGCTATTTCATTGTGAATGTGTCTCTTTAATACGATCAATTCAGTTCAGTAGACTATCAATATAGCTTTCAGGTTAGGTACTTCTTTTATTGTTTTGACATATGCATTTCGGACTTATATGAATTTTAAGTCCCTCTTCAGTTCAAAACCAAGGTTCTGTCTTCTAAAAACCACGGTGTATAACGGGTAACGTTGGAAGTAGTTTAAAATACAGCCATTAAAAACACTTCAAATACATTTTCACATTAACACGGTAAACTTTTAACATGTGTTCATAAAATCTTGTATAGTTACAACTTTTAAAGAATGTGTATGTTCTATAATATAATGTCGCAGCAATTATAATCTTTTTACATATTAATAATACGTAGTATATCAATATTAAAACATTTTCAAGAGAATTCTCTTGAAAATGTTTTAATATTGATATACTAGTATTATTAATATGTTGATTATGGAAATCTAAACCTGACATAACGGCAGACATAGCGGCATTTAATAATAACACATATGGATTAACTGTGGGCCTCGAACAGGAGAGCAATAAACAAATTCATTTTCTCGACGTGAACATCATAGTTAAAGGAAAGTCTATCAACACAGAGGTATACAGAAAGCCTCAGGCAGATCAACTGTATATCCCTGTGCATTCATGTGACCCATGGCAGTATAAGATAGCGGCCTTTAATAACTTGGTGCATAGAGCACACACCCACTCATCGACAACGCGGGCACTGGATACAGAGATCAACACCATTAATATCATGGCCAAAAGACATGGATATAATAGTAGGATAGCCATGAGGATCGAAAAACTGATGCATTCACGAAGAACAGATCTAACAGAACCGCAAGGGCAACAAAGTAACTCTCAGAAAGACAGAATCCTAATCACTTACAATCCGTACTTAGAAAAAAATATACAAGGAGATCGCCAAAAGAAAACAAGCCTCCTTAATATTTAGAAGATGTCCCACTATATTTAGAATGCTAAATAATGCAAAAGACATTCCGCACCAAAACAAATTAGCAGGTGTATACAGGATCCCTATAAAGGATCATAGGTGTGATAAAGACTTAGTATACGTGGGATCCACAAAAAGATTGTTGGATGTGAGGATCAAAGAACACAAAGCAGACATCCTACATAAAATATATACTACAGCATTAGCGCAATATGCCACGGACCCTGACATACAAGCTGTATTTGACGAGGCAAAAATAATTTACACCACACAGCTAATACACCATTTGCGCTGGATGGAAGCGATATATATCTATAAAACAGCAAGAGAAAACGAGTGTATAAACAATAAGGATGAACTATCATTATCGATAGCAGGGCAAACTCTTATTTACGACACTTGAGAGGCCAAAAGCGATCCTTCTATCTACAGAGCATGCGCAAGTTTAATACGATGATTGCACGAGTTCCCTTAGAACATTACGTTCAGATTTTCGAATAACATCGATTCTACCCGATTTATTCACCTGAAGAAGAACTAAGTTCGAAAACGTTTGTGAAAATATTTGGAAATAAGCACTGTTTTGGTTTACAGCAGAAGTAAGTCGTTTATTCAGTAGCTGTGGAAAAGGATATTAGTATAAATGTGCTGTTGTGCTCAGTCAAAAGTGTGTGATTGAAAAAATGAGTGAGGAGTTAATATCAAGTTTTTCATCAAACTTAAATCTACAATGAAAACTTTTCAATTATTTACTGATACTTGCAGTGAAGATTGTGTGCCTTATGTATGTAAAAATACATGGCAGAAACTGTTTTCAAAAGGTAGGAAAAGTGTGAAAGATTATGACTGTCTACATCAGTGGTATCCAAACTACAGCTCTTAGGCCTAATCCAGCCCAATAACATATTTGATGCTTGACTTATAAATGATTGAAATAAGCCTACATTTTTATATATGGAATATATAAATATATGTGGTCTATTACCTACTATCTACAACTTTTTGAATGGCAGAAGAATGGCAATTTGTTCTGCCATTCAAAAAGTTTTGGCACCACTGGTCTACATTATTACCTTGTTTGATATCAGGGTGTTGAGATGGAAGAATAGGTTTCTTGTAGTCAGATTGTCAATCAAAATTTTAAATTGAAATCTTGACTAAATTGTATAAAACAGGGAAAAGGAAACAGCCAGAATTATGGCAAAATAAGTGCATCAGGCTAATATACCATCCTATAATGCTTTTATAATTATAATGTTTATAACTAATCAATCAAATACTACAATTTTTTTTATCTCTTTATTAACCAGATTTACTTCCAGCAACTTCTTTCTCTTTCCATTGATAAATTTATCTTAAAGAAATCTATCTAACAAAATGGATTAGTAGAAGGGGGAAAAAATGATAGATCTCTTGAATAGTCTTACAGAAAATGAGCTGCAGCATTGTATGCACCTGTGTCAACTACTATGAGGACTACTTTACAAGAGATCAGAAATAATTTTCTGAGTCATGTAAATGAAAAAGCAACAGCATCAGTCTTAATTTTTATGTTTTACCTCAAACATACATATTTAATTTTATCTTTCTTTATAGATTTTAGGAATGACAGAAATCTTTCATTGACTGCTTGATTATTCTCCATTTTTTTTAATTAAAAAACAAACATACATAGATAACATGTTAATACATATTGAATTTTTTTTTAATTAAATCTTATTTGATACCAAATACAAGTATTTTAGGAATAGAGTATGAAATTATATGAAATTTAATTAAATTTTATATAATTTCATACTTCAATTAGAAATCTTATATTAGGAATAAATTTTAAATGTAATTAATAAATATTTAATAAAGCATTAATTCTGTCATATTGAACTTGTTTTCTAGGTAATCAGGCAGCAAATTTATTAAAACAAGTTTGTGGCAACAGAAAAAGAGAAACTCAAATTCATCTTCAGAGAAAACTTCAAGAAAAAGAACTGATTAAGGAACAGAAGAAGAAAGTCCAAGAACAGCGACAGATTACAAAATCAGTTGTTCATAAAACATCTTCGAGGAAATCTCAAAGATCAATAGGAAAGAAAACCGCTGCATCTGGTCAACAAAATATTACAGATAAACAAATCTGTAATAATTCAGAACTATGTGATAATTCTATACTTGAAGAGAAGGATTTCTCTTTAGAAGTTGATCAAAAAGTTAACTTTAATAATAATGAAAAAACAGATGATAAAGAAGGGAAATTACATTCCTTAAGTACATCAACGAAGTTTAGCACACAGCATTTAGATATTGCATCAAATATTGAACAAACCTGTGATGATAATGAAATTAAACAAAAATTAGATAAAGTACCTATTCCACGAAAGGGGGGTGCTAGAACTTCAACAGTATGTATTACTCCAGGTATAATAGCTGTTCCTCCTGTACAGATTACTCTGCTTGGTCCCCAGACATCTCCAAAACCTCAAAAATTTGAGAAGAAATATAAACGTATACAACCTAAATCTACAACAAATAAGTTAGTGAATAGAAATTCTACATTGTTTCCTCTACAGACAAAGCGATCAAATAGAAGACAGTTAACTGAAACTAATAATCAGAGAGATAATAAGTTGTCTAATTTATGGAATCAATCAGATGATGTAAACAGTGAAAAATCGTCAGAAGAATCTAATGGGACCAAAATTATATCTTCACCCACTAATAATAGTACTCTGTCAGTTGTTAATGATAAAGCAACTTTTGAAGTTGAATCAGTGCTTCCTGTTACATATACTGAACTTGATAATAATGCTATTAATCTCAATGGACATTTAAATTTTGATAATTCAAATGAATTAAATGTTAATGAGCAAATCAAGAATGTAGACTTGCATTCTAAAGAAAATACAGGAAATACTAGTTTTACTTTAAATAAAATATGTGACAATTTTGTTGCTTCTGATGTTTCTAATATTAATGAAATGATGTCATCCATGAAACGCCATTGTGAAGAGTATGATTCTGAAGCAGTTGCTTCAAAGAAACCACTTTTAGAAAATATTCTCACTGTTAAAAATGCAATTGCATATCTTCCTACCTGGGAAAATAAAGAAGGAGATGCAAAAATTGATGATGGAAATAAATTGCTTCCAGAATCTTTAATTCAAGCAGTTTGTTCATCTGCTAATGATGAAAAGAACTGTAATCAAGAAGAAGTGAGCATTCATCAATTAGAAACGGATGCTTTAATTGAATATTATGATATAAGTAGTGAATCTAATCAACTATTATTTGAAAAGACAGATTTATGTAATAAGGATATTCCACAGCAAGTTCTGCAGAATACTAATGGGCAAAAGCAGCAAGCATGTAACACTGCTGCTCAACTATCTCAGTTAAGAATGTTGTTAGAAAGAAATTTGCCAAAACCATTAAGTAAATGTAATACAATTAGAAATTTCAAGAAAACTGAACAGTTAGAAACACCTGAACAGTCTTCTGTGTCTTCATTTTTATCTTTAAATAATGAAAGTTTTGATGTTAATCATCAAAATGAGAAGACACAGGAAGATTTTAATCAGATAATAATAAAAGATGCTGATAATATGAATGAACTGTCTGGTAATTATGAAGATAAACTGACAACTGTCTGCTGGAGTGACACCAATGATCAGAACATTACAATACAGAAAGAAAGTATATTGCCACAAACAGAAACTCATCAGAGTGAAAGTTTATCAGAAAAACAAATTATTTCACATATTCAAAATTCTCTTTTATCTGGTGAAAATTCAAATGATGTAAATATAATTGGTAGTAATATAGCACAGCCAGCAATGATTATTAATACTAATGATGTGAATAGTTTGAATAATACTGTTTGTATTAGTGAATCAGGTGTGCAACAGTTGCAAAGTGTTTGTAATTCTAAACAAACTAGTACACATACACAAATACCCTCCGTTCCACCAAGTCCAAATGCACGCCGTCTTGCATTTAATTTTCTTCCAATTTCTCCAAGACAAACTCCTATATTGGAAAATAATTCTGCTGGGAGTAGAGCTTTAGCATCACCAGTACCATCCACTTCTCAATTTATTACTACAAATATTGTTCATAACAATATGGTTTCTGTTGCAGTGGGATCTTCTCGTCCAACAAGTGCTGCCAGCAGTCCATTTGTATCTCCTAGAAGTACACCAGTACCATTATCAAGATCTCGTCATAATTCTGGACAGAGTGCATATAGCACTCCACGCCAGACTCCCTTACAAAATTTTGATTCTGGAGTATCTTCCATATCTACATCACCTTTCATATCTCCACAACCAACACCACTTCCAATTAGTCGATTACGCCACAATTCAAGTCATAGCCAAGGTCGTACAGTGACATTTAATGCAGTTGGAAGTCCTCATGCTTACAGTCAAACACTTTTTTCGGGATCTCGTTCAAGACACAATTCTGGGCCCGGAATACCACATCAACTTGGTTCAACTATGTCTCCTAGAAGTGCTCCTCTCTCACCTATGGTTAACGATTGTTATTCACAAAATCAATTTTCATTTCCTTGTGTGGGAGACACACCCACATTGCGTTCTAGACATAATTCAGCTTCAAGTGCTGCTCCTCTTTCTCCAGTCTCTGAACAAGTATCTCCTCCAGCAAATAATGCTGAAACATCTATTAATAATGATAAGTTTCTTACTTCTGATTCTTCATCTCAATACTCTTCAAATATTAATAAAAATCAAGAAACAGATTCACAGGCTGAAACTTGTACAGATGATAAGAATAATGGAGAAGTACCATATCAGCAATTAAAATCTTTATTGAACTCAAAGATTTTATTTTCTCAAAATAATACTAATTCAAAACAGCAGCATCAGCCAAATATTACAGTTCAATCTGAATTGAAACAATGGATAAATAATCGTCAACGGCACACTTCAGGACCACTTCTGTTTCAGGAAACAAGTCGAATTACTGATCAGTCTTCTCAAGAGATTCAACTTTTATTACGAAATTCTACATGTACAACTCCTTCTTCATCCTCCAATAGAAGTCAGTCTGTACCACCTTATCAAATGTTGCAAAATCTGATTAATCAGTATAGTCCCATTACCAATATGGATAACACTATTTCCAAATCTCATCCAACAACACCTATTATTAGGAACTCTTTTACTTTTCCACCCAACAAATTGAATAACAGTGCTCTTTCTGTAGTAGACTCGGCTGGATTTGTGCCATCATCACTTTCTCCTGAAGAAATATTTTCGCCACAAGTAACCGATCAAGATGAAGTAATAGTCAATGGTAACCAGTCCTGGGATAATCTCAACAGAGAAATTAGTAGTGCAAGAAGAAACATCTCAGATATCTTGGAACAGCAGCAGGAAGATCTAGATATGGCATTGGATGATCTTCGAGATTTTGATGCAGACTTTTCTCTTCAAGACTTCAAGCTAGCCCAAGAATTAGAAGAGATGAACCCAAGTGAAAGTGATTTGTCATAAGTGTGAATAGATGCATTATTATAAGATTTAATGTGTTAGTTTCAATTACCTCATTGGTGCATTCAGCAGATAGTCAAAAGTGATTAGAACTTAAAATGGTTGCATGTCAAAAATTTGAAACTTAAACTAAATGTTCGCATCTGGCTAAACACATTCATTTCTGAATAATTGTTGAATAAGTGGGTAGAATATTCTGCATTATCGTGTATATTCATTTACAGATTATGCTATTAATTGCCTGTTAAATTCATTTGTTATATTGGTAGCAAAATGTAACATTTTATTTTTCACTAGATAATGCAAGAGCGAGTGCAAGTGACGATGATGACGATGCATGCTCCAAGCATTCATCCAAGTATACTCATTTAGTTGCATACCTTTTCGTGACATTCTTTATTATAAAATCTTGTTACGTGGAATAAATTTTAATTTTAAATATTATTCATAATTTAAAAACATACTTTTTAAAAAAGATTTCACATAAGTAATGATAATCCAAAGAATACATGATTGTTAGTTTAATACTGTTGGTAAAATTAGATATATTAGTAATATCGTTATGAATTTCTAGAGGGGAAAAATTAACTTTATCAAAGAATGTCATGTTCAGGTTAGCAGTTTATTTCTTGGATACAAAATGTATAGTTAAACAAAATCGTGTCACTGAATGAATCCTTTATTATAACTTGCAAAATGTAAAAAGAAAAAAAAACTGTTTTTAATATTTTATGAAATGAGCTCTCTCTCTCTAAATGTTTTCACTGTTTTTGTGAATAAAAAAAGCACGTATTTACTTATATTTTAAGTTACTTTGAGTTAATTATGGTATTACACATTATATCCATAAGATTCTCCTAGAACTGGTAAAAAAAAAAAAAGATTTTGTGATTTCTTCAGATTTAGAAATATTACTTATGTATCAGTACTTATGATTACTTAAAATCAACCCTGTTCTCTTAAACTGATTTATGAGAAAAAGAAGATACATAAAAATATGAGTTTTAACATGAAAATATTTTTTCATAATTATGTTGTTCCATCCATCATAATTATGTTGTTCCATCCATCAATTTCATCATGCAGTTGGATACTGCATGATGAAATTCTAATAGAAATATCCATATTAATTTAGAAATATGCATTTAGCAATATATTTCTTTATATATTTAGTCAAAAACAGTTTTTATACTAAAATAACTGATTGATTTTTTAGACAACTTCAGTTATTTATTTTTTAAATTGTAATTCTTAGTCTTGTTAGAATGTTTAAAAATTTAAAGGTCAAATTGTCAGTATCAGTATTTGCAAGTCCAAAAACAATTACAACAAACAGATTCTGTTGTATTTAATGTTATCAAAATAGTATCAAAAACAAATACAATTTTCAGATCTATTTATATATCCAAAGTTTCAACTTCTGTATTTATTAGGGTAGAGGCATAATCCTGACAATTTTTCTGATATACCCTGTATATTAAGATGTTACAATAGATCAGTGTTTCTCAGCCTCTAATGAATTGTCGTCCCCTTCAATAAAACCATTACGTAGTATTGCTCCCTTCACTTCAAAATTCTGATGTTGAGGGCCAAGGCTAACGCCAAATTCGTACTGCATTGAATAGACTAGTGACTAGTATAATGTTATTTGTTTAATTATTGTACGATATAATGAATAAAATATCTAATTATTCTTAATATAATGTTTTTACTATATCGCCCAGAAAATTGTTTTTTGCCCCCAAAAATATAAATTGTTACTAATCGCCCCCACAACATGGAAAAACGCCCACATGGGGGCGATATCGACCCCGTTGAGAAACACTGCAATAGATGAAATATATTTGCAATTGAAATTTCTTGGAAGGCACAATTTTCTGTGAAACAACAATACAATTTAAAGAATTAGTGCCTTGTGCTTGCCCAGATAAATGTAGCAGTTTGATCTGTATACATACATCATAAGCTATCCTACAACAGAGTGCCCACAGATATTTTAACTATTGCTCCAGATTTCTCACACTTGTAGATGACCAAAACTTCCATCTGGTCTTTCAAATGCTTGGTGAATGAAAATTCTGCAGACCAGACAAGCCAAGAAAGTATGGAGCATGACAGATACTTTTGGGAAATCCTAGCTGTACACAGCTAGGGATGCTGCTGGATTTCTGCTGAAAGATGGCTGTTTGCATCCCTGCCATGAAAGGCAATACAAGAGCACAGGATTTCCTGAATGTACGTACTATTATGCTGTCGATGTCCTTTGTATTATTACTAGGACTGACCGACTTGTCATACGAAATGAAAAGCCATATCAACAATGGGGTCAGTGTTCTGTTCAACAGTAAATTTGGGATTTAATTGCACACCAATAATCCTCCAGATGTAACACTTTGGTTGTCCATTTTCAAACAACCAGGATTCATTAGTAAAAATGATAAGCTACCAATCTGTAGCAGTGCATGCTTCTGTCACAGCAGCATCACTACAAAATATGATGTTGGGATGCTAATGATAGAACACATAGCAGTCATTGCATCTGCAAATTTGCCTCTGCTATATTTCTGTAGAGAGGCTTCCACCTCTGGTGATGGACCAAGATGCTGTTGCAAGTGTACATGCTTGTCTTACAATCAGTTGATCTCTCTCCTGATGGTCTGTCTGGGTCATCCGGAACCTGGTCGTCTTAAGTGTGTCCTGACGTATCCAATGCCCCCACACACTTCAAGCAGATGCTAAGTTGGTACATTTTACACCAGATCAGTGAATTTGGAACGTCTACTGTACAAAATTTTAAATTAATGTACTAGTGCATTTGCTGGTGCCTTGGCTTAGTAAATTATTGTTGAACTTTGTACTAAATATTTAACCATCTGATCCATAGATAGCAGCAGCATGCAGGTATTTTTCAGAATGTTTTAGTACGTTTCATGTTTATATCTACCTAATATAGAGGTAGATATAAACATATAGAGGTTCATAATAGGGTATAGATAAACATATAGAGGTAATAATAGAGGTAGATATGTACATTGTCATTTATACATTAAATGATATACATTACATATATCTATCATATATATACATTATATGATAAACATTACATATATCTACCCCTATTATTACTATTTCGAGGTATAAGATATAGAGTTTATATCTACTTCTATATATGTAATATCGTTATGAATTTCTAGAGGGGAAAAATTAACTTTATCAAAGAATGTCATGTTCAGGTTAGCAGTTTATTTCTTGGATACAAAATGTATAGTTAAACAAAATCGTGTCACTGAATGAATCCTTTATTATAACTTGCAAAATGTAAAAAGAAAAAAAAACTGTTTTTAATATTTTATGAAATGAGCTCTCTCTCTCTAAATGTTTTCACTGTTTTTGTGAATAAAAAAAGCACGTATTTACTTATATTTTAAGTTACTTTGAGTTAATTATGGTATTACACATTATATCCATAAGATTCTCCTAGAACTGGTAAAAAAAAAAAAAGATTTTGTGATTTCTTCAGATTTAGAAATATTACTTATGTATCAGTACTTATGATTACTTAAAATCAACCCTGTTCTCTTAAACTGATTTATGAGAAAAAGAAGATACATAAAAATATGAGTTTTAACATGAAAATATTTTTTCATAATTATGTTGTTCCATCCATCATAATTATGTTGTTCCATCCATCAATTTCATCATGCAGTTGGATACTGCATGATGAAATTCTAATAGAAATATCCATATTAATTTAGAAATATGCATTTAGCAATATATTTCTTTATATATTTAGTCAAAAACAGTTTTTATACTAAAATAACTGATTGATTTTTTAGACAACTTCAGTTATTTATTTTTTAAATTGTAATTCTTAGTCTTGTTAGAATGTTTAAAAATTTAAAGGTCAAATTGTCAGTATCAGTATTTGCAAGTCCAAAAACAATTACAACAAACAGATTCTGTTGTATTTAATGTTATCAAAATAGTATCAAAAACAAATACAATTTTCAGATCTATTTATATATCCAAAGTTTCAACTTCTGTATTTATTAGGGTAGAGGCATAATCCTGACAATTTTTCTGATATACCCTGTATATTAAGATGTTACAATAGATCAGTGTTTCTCAGCCTCTAATGAATTGTCGTCCCCTTCAATAAAACCATTACGTAGTATTGCTCCCTTCACTTCAAAATTCTGATGTTGAGGGCCAAGGCTAACGCCAAATTCGTACTGCATTGAATAGACTAGTGACTAGTATAATGTTATTTGTTTAATTATTGTACGATATAATGAATAAAATATCTAATTATTCTTAATATAATGTTTTTACTATATCGCCCAGAAAATTGTTTTTTGCCCCCAAAAATATAAATTGTTACTAATCGCCCCCACAACATGGAAAAACGCCCACATGGGGGCGATATCGACCCCGTTGAGAAACACTGCAATAGATGAAATATATTTGCAATTGAAATTTCTTGGAAGGCACAATTTTCTGTGAAACAACAATACAATTTAAAGAATTAGTGCCTTGTGCTTGCCCAGATAAATGTAGCAGTTTGATCTGTATACATACATCATAAGCTATCCTACAACAGAGTGCCCACAGATATTTTAACTATTGCTCCAGATTTCTCACACTTGTAGATGACCAAAACTTCCATCTGGTCTTTCAAATGCTTGGTGAATGAAAATTCTGCAGACCAGACAAGCCAAGAAAGTATGGAGCATGACAGATACTTTTGGGAAATCCTAGCTGTACACAGCTAGGGATGCTGCTGGATTTCTGCTGAAAGATGGCTGTTTGCATCCCTGCCATGAAAGGCAATACAAGAGCACAGGATTTCCTGAATGTACGTACTATTATGCTGTCGATGTCCTTTGTATTATTACTAGGACTGACCGACTTGTCATACGAAATGAAAAGCCATATCAACAATGGGGTCAGTGTTCTGTTCAACAGTAAATTTGGGATTTAATTGCACACCAATAATCCTCCAGATGTAACACTTTGGTTGTCCATTTTCAAACAACCAGGATTCATTAGTAAAAATGATAAGCTACCAATCTGTAGCAGTGCATGCTTCTGTCACAGCAGCATCACTACAAAATATGATGTTGGGATGCTAATGATAGAACACATAGCAGTCATTGCATCTGCAAATTTGCCTCTGCTATATTTCTGTAGAGAGGCTTCCACCTCTGGTGATGGACCAAGATGCTGTTGCAAGTGTACATGCTTGTCTTACAATCAGTTGATCTCTCTCCTGATGGTCTGTCTGGGTCATCCGGAACCTGGTCGTCTTAAGTGTGTCCTGACGTATCCAATGCCCCCACACACTTCAAGCAGATGCTAAGTTGGTACATTTTACACCAGATCAGTGAATTTGGAACGTCTACTGTACAAAATTTTAAATTAATGTACTAGTGCATTTGCTGGTGCCTTGGCTTAGTAAATTATTGTTGAACTTTGTACTAAATATTTAACCATCTGATCCATAGATAGCAGCAGCATGCAGGTATTTTTCAGAATGTTTTAGTACGTTTCATGTTTATATCTACCTAATATAGAGGTAGATATAAACATATAGAGGTTCATAATAGGGTATAGATAAACATATAGAGGTAATAATAGAGGTAGATATGTACATTGTCATTTATACATTAAATGATATACATTACATATATCTATCATATATATACATTATATGATAAACATTACATATATCTACCCCTATTATTACTATTTCGAGGTATAAGATATAGAGTTTATATCTACTTCTATATATTAAATATAGAG